ACTCTCTGTCCCTCTCCCTTCCTTTCTGTAAAAAATCAATAAAATATATTTTAAAAACTTTTTAAAAAATCATTGTGAAGAATGTCACTGCGTGGAAAATGCTAATTACATAACATTAACTTAGAAATTAAAAGGAGAATATTTGTATAATTCAGCCTGTCTATATAAATTACTTTAAAATAAAATCTCAAAATCCCTGGGATATGTAATACATCACTAATTCCACAAGGTGGCAATATCATAGCTATTAAGCAGTATTGGACAAATTTTTCTGGGGTGCATTGCATTGTTCCTAATGTTATTTTTGCTTAACTATATTTTAATCTTAGTTATATTTTGATCTTTGATTTACAATGACTTTTGCATTCCTTTTAAGTCCAGGGAATATAAAATATTTTATGGGTGTGTTGTTTTTTTTTTTTAAAGTATAATTCCTCTGACTGGAGAATGTGAAGGTCTCCACCCATTCATTTTTGCTTCCTGAATCTTTTGCATTTTCAAAAATTGTAATCAAATAGTATTAATTGTTATTTCTCGAAAAACTTTTATTATAGGTCTTTGTGCTGGGTCTTTATATACATTACCTTATTTACTCTGCAGAGTAGATGTTATTCTTCCCATTTTACAGATGAGAAAACAGAAGCTAAGGGAAGATTGGTAATTCACCCAAACTCAATTATTTTTTGCCAGAGCCTGAATTCAAGCCTAGTCTTTGTAAAGAAACTGTTAAATGGATAAATAAAAAATAAACAAATAAATAAAATGACTATACAGAAATAAATGAGAGAGAGAGAGAGAGAGAGAGAGAGAGAGAGAGAGAGAGAACAGTATTCATCTATCTACTGTCTATCTAATTCAGGTCATATTAAAAAGAAAAGGTTATAGTAAATAAGATAGATGTTAAATAATTCCTATCTTCTTTTTTCTCTTAAATGACATATGAGAATTTCCCCCATGTTATTAAAAATTCCTTGGAAACAGAACAGAAAAGGTTATAGTAAATATAACCTATATGTTGTTGTATAATGATAGAGAGACCCATATTGAAATAGATTTATAATATTCTTTCATTTGAATGTACTGTATTTTATTCAGTCTTTATCCTATTTTTGAATATAGCAATTTTCTTCAAGATTAGGGGATTATTAATGATCATCCTTGTATATAAATCTTTGTCTATATCTCTGTCCATTATTAAGGATACATTATAGAATTTAAATGACTTATGAGACCCCAAAAATAAAGTATCAAATTTTCATTTTAAAATTTGTAAAACATTTTTCCAGAGAAAAACTATGCTGCATTTCTCTAACTGAAATAACTAATTTATGATTTTTGCATTTTTCCTGCTAGATTTATATATTTATATATCTATATTTATATAATATGTATCCAGATATATACCTATTTTCACAGAGTTGATAATAAGACATATACACTCAGAAACTT